ACAGTCTGAGTTTAAATTTTAGAGACAGACTCACTGCCACCTCCCTTTTCTTTTCATCTTACTACATATTCATAGACAAATAGATACAAAGGACCAGAGAGGTAGCTCAAAGGGCCAGAGTTCAAACTGTGCATACTGGAGTTAGAATTTAATCTTTGGCACTGTATGGCTGACCCCAGAGAACCAAGTCCCAAGAATCTCAAGAGCATCATCAGATATGATGATAACCACTCTCATCAAACAAAAAAATAGAGATAGGCATCTTCTATAACTTAAGATACTTATCATAGAATAATTTCAGAGTCAGTAAGTTATATCCCAGTTCTCAGGAAGAAATTGTCCCACAGTGGTAGAAAAATCACACGCTCTAGTTATATCTTTAGAAGTTGCCCTTTTCCCTGGATGTGTGTGCTTATTTTGATATATACTTTGATAAAAAATATAAGAATATAGCATCAAATATGTAGCTATATCGAATATAGGTAAAAGCCAAATTGTTACCAGATGCCATTGAGGGTTGTGTACTAGGCAGGTAGTTGTACCTGCATGTCTGGATATACTCAAAGGCACCAGCCAGAAGAAATCGAAACTAGACCTGCAACCAACAGAGAACCTCAGTTGGAAACCCCCTCTTGACAACCTTCCTTCTAATCAGAACTCATTGGCTGAAGATGTTCATTTGTATAAGGCTCATCTTAGTTAGGGTGAGATATTCTTTTGATCTCTTGGTCTGTCTTGGCTACCCTCAGACTACTAGAACAGGGAGATCAGACGCTTTTACTTCTCTCTCCCTCTTTTTAAAAATTGGCTATGATCATAACATTTTATTTTATTTTTCCACTTTATTTAAACACCATGATGTACAGAATTGTTCATGGATGATTTGTTGCAGGCATTCAGTATCCCAACCCAATCCCAATACCCCTGTAATTTTTTTCTCACCATTGTCTCCATTTTCCTTACCACTCTTCAAGCCTGACCCTGCAGCGGGTCCAGAAAATTTATTTTATATTGGTTGTTACCACTAAATGGCAAATGGAATGATCAATAAAATAGGTTAGTGCAAGAAACTTTGTGAAAACTGTTGTATCTCACCTTGGGGACATTAAGTCATTTTCTGAAGATTTATTAAGTTCTTGTTACTAATTAATCCTTCTTGTTTTTAAACCTTTTCTTTGTTTTTGTTAGTTGAGCTTAATTGTCTTCTACATTACATTTCCATCTTTTTGTGATGTTAGTACTGTGAGACTGGAGATGTCCCTCTAGGACATCCAGAGTATCTAACTTGGCAATGGCTAAACTGCCTTTTTTTAGTGTTTCTAGCATCTCATTCTTTTTTTTAATGAATCACCGTAAGGTACAGTTACAGACTTATAAATTTTCGTGCTTATGTTTCAGTCATACAATGGTCGAGTACCCATCCCTCCACAGATGCCCTTTCTCCACCACCAATAATCCCAGTCTCCCTCCCACCACCCCCATCCCATCCCGCCCACCCCACACTGATTCTGTGGCAAGGCATTCCCTTTTGGTCCCTCTCTCCTTTTGGGTGTTGTGGTTTGCAATATAGGTATTGAGTGGCCATTAGGTTTGTTCTATAGTCTACTTTCAGCTCGAATCTACCATCCCTAGCTGGCCCTCAAGGCACCCTTTACTTGGGTATCCCTTCTCTATCTGAGCTGCCCTTTCCCCCAGCATGTGAGACTGGCCTCCAAGCTGTGGACCTATCCTCCTGGTACACATCACTACTATTCTTGTGTGTAAGTCTTGCATTCTGTTACTTTATATTCCACAAATAGCATTTAAATCTTGAAGCCCAAAATAACTGGACACCAATAATGTACTAGAAATATGAAAACACAGCCTCCGTATTAAAAAGAAGTTAATATTTGACTGACTGATGCAGATTATTATTTTAAGAAATAAAGGGTGACCAGTGAAACTGAAAGAAGAATAAAGGGAATATCCCAATACAGCCAAGCTTCTGATGAGTTTGTGGATGAGATGTTTTAACATTTTCACAAATTTCACAATAAATTCAGCCATTAGTTTTTCAAGCATTTGTTGTGCTCTTCCTTCAATACTTCTGCGTTAGAAAGTGTCCTTCTATACATATATATATACACACACATGTACATATATACGAATGTATAATTGTGAAAAATAAAAACTATTTTGTAGGTAAGTGGTGTTTTGTTCATATTACTATTTCATTGTTTTATCTTTGTAAGTTTCTTTTTATTGTTCTTTTTTGGTTTTGGTACGTCTCTTAGTTCACAAATTATTTTTTCAGTGACTGATCAGTCATTAGATCCATCCAATGTACTTTCTATATTCTATGCCAAAACATACATGTCTCGAAATTCAAAGGAACTTACTTTTAAATTTTGGGAGCCAAACCCATCAGTGTTCAGATGTTACTCCGGCTTTGTGCTCAGGTATCACTCTGGTAAACTCAGGAGGCCATAGGGGGTAACATGAAACAAACCTGAGTCAGCTGCATGCAAGGAAAGCACCTTACCTGCTGTACTATCTCTCTGGACCCTGAGGATCACTTCTGCCATGTGCTACTATCAAACTTCCCTGAACTCTCCCCACCATGTGTCCTGTTTCATTTTACTGTACAGCAGGTGAAAACTCTTTAGGAAACCAGTACTTTTACTGAGTCCGGGGGACTTTCTGATACCATTGCGACATTAATTTTCCATCACTTCCAAGGTGCTTAGCTGCTTGTACGTGAACCCAGACAAGCACACACACACACACACACACACACACACACAAACTTACACACAGACACATACACATACACATATACACTAATGGAGCACTTTCTTATCATACATATCTCACAAACCAATACCACATATAGCAGTATCAACAACAGAAATCAAAAAAACTCATAGACATACACCTTGCCACAAATCTGACTCTGCACATGTATTACACCATACATTGTACTCTTGTAAACACACATCACATACCACATCTACTGCATATATTACATCCTTAGAGATCCCCAACACCATGGCACTGTACAACCTATGTATTGTATTCATAAGACTTAGGAAAATTATGACATATAACCAGTATTTATGGTTTCTCATTCTTAGAAAGGAGATAAAAAGAAAGCAAAATGAATCAAAGAGCACAGGAATTTGCAGAGACCCAGTGTGTCATTCCCAGATTCAAATGAGCGCTCTTGTTTATTGCGAGAGATGTGTCCCCTGCTCCAACTCCTAAGGTTATCTTCCTGCTCCTTGGTCTCTCCCACCTCTGGGTATATTTTTCTGCAGGTGCTATGCACCTTGTCTCATTCTCAACCCTGCGATTTTGCAAGATCTGGCGCCCTCTCACACAGCAGGAAAAAAAGTGGGAAAGCAACTCTCTGGAACAACTCCTGTTAGGACATTGCTCCATTTCCCAGTTTGCTTGCTGGGGACTGTCTTCCCCTTCTCAATATTTTAGTGGTAAAATAGTGATTTATGTTTGCTTCTATGTTTTTCTGGATCATACCTGAGGGTGCCAAGAGGCTACTTCCAGCTGTATTGGGGCCATTTGCAATGCACCACATGGGACTGTGATTGACCCGAATGTAGCCATGTTTTCTGTCCTTTATCATGGAACTAATTTGGGATGTGTCAGCCCACGTGACTCCTCTGTACAAGGAGGCATCACCTGACCAGGCAAGAAGACCTCCTCTGTGAGCTGGTTGTTGTAGGGGGGTGTCATGTATCCTGTATTATGTGGGTCTGCCACCCCAGGATATGTCAGTATATGATGGTCAAGAACGGCACAGTTGTAGGATATCTGTGTGCAGTCATGGGGATGCAGAGCTGGGGGAACTTCTTACTTCAGTGGGAACAGAGGAGCTTTTTATCCCATTTTTCTTCAGTCTGACCTGCACCCGAGCCAGTCTATGATGGGCTGCACTCTGAGATTCTCCTGTGAGTCAGTGCCCTGGACCGCCCTCCACCATCTTCTCCTGTTTATCGCTTGCAGTAGGTACAGCTCAGACAGTGCTCAGAATGAAACCCTGTTCCTCTGCCTCCTTCTCTGCACTGTTGGACAACTGTATATTTATTTTGAAAGTGTGAACTGTATACTCTGATATCAGAGGTCATCTATACAAAAAGATTTGCTTGTGAGGAAGTCTAAGGTTTTCTTTGTTCCCAGTAAATCGTGACTCAGTTGAGTAGAATCAGGACTTTGGTCTATTTTGCTATTCTTTTTCTTCTTTTGGGTTACTCAGGGAGGTACTCAGGATTTACTCCTGGCTCTTAACTGAGAGATGGTTCTGGCAGTGCTCAGGGGCCATATGGGATGCTGGGGATTAAACCCAGGTCACCTATGTCCAAGAAGGTGCTCTCCTGGCTATCAGCTGTTTTGGCTCCTGCTTTGCTTCATTCAGATGCAGCAACTGAGTTGCCAAATGCTCCCCCCACCCCTTGACCAGAGAGCCTCCCCCCATCTCTCAGAGCAGAGGCTCGTGGTACTCCAAGCCAACAATACTCCTTGCTGGTCCATTTTCAGCTCCTGGGCTATCCAGGCTGCTCTGAAGATCTGAATCCCTGCAGAGGAATATTGAGGAGGTAGGAGACAGAGAAGCCGACAGACACAGTCCAGTGTGAATCTGTGTTCACAGGCCACTGTTACACACATCTCCCCACCCCTCATAAACTGTTAAAAAAACATGTGACTCGGGTGAACAAAGAAGTGTTGCCAAGTTTCATGGATTTCAGTGGTACATGGCAACAAGTGCAGAAAATCACAAGTCAGAGATTGTGAATATCATGTGAAGGTTACTTGATTGTAGATTCTGTGCTTGGCACCAAAAAAGAAAAGTTTCTATTTTCCTTGTCCTATCTCTATACTGATAAAATAGAGAGCGATTTATTTAGGTGTCTTTTTAAATTTTTTTTTGTGGGTCAGATTACTTTCGTTTCTGATAATCTCAGAGGACAAACACAGGAAATTGCAAAACTCTCGTCCGACACGTAGTTTCATTTATGATTTGAATCCTGTGAGAGTCAAATTCCCGTTAGAGTCTGAGAAGGTGGCAACAGCAGAAGGGACTGTCAACGAACAAGTGAGTGTCAGCTGGGTTCTCTGGAGTTCTGGGAATATTCAAGTCAAGCTTTGCTCCATGGAGGGATGCTGAAGTGTGTGTGACAGTGAGAGGAGGAAGTGGGGGCAGGGTGCTTATGGTTGTTCTGAGGAGAATCTCCAAATCTGAACATGGTCAGAACTTTGGTTTCTTGCTCTCTCTTTTATTCACTTTTTTTTTCACACCCTCCATGTCATAACTTAGATGACCAGAATATGAGGCAAGTGAAACCCCAGGACAAGCACCCTGGGGACTCAGAGGAGGAGGGCTCCTTTCTAGAAACAGAAAATATTTGGCAGAAGAGGTATAATGTCTCCCTTCTGAAAATAATTTAGTAAGGAAGACTCAAGAATAAATTCTCCAGTATTCAGTATGACTCATCATTCCATCAAGCACTGTCCTCCCCTTGTTCATAGATTTTGCTTGAGCAGGCTCAGTAACGTCTCCATTTTGAGACTTGTGTTACTGTTTTTGGCAGATCGAATATGTCATGGGGAGCTTGCCAGGCTTTGCCCTGTGGGCGAGATACTCTCGTTAACTTTCTGGGCTCTCCAAGAGAGGTGAAGGAATCGAACCCGGCTCGGCCGGGCTGGCTGCGTGCAAGACAAATAGCATGCCCTACCGCTGTGCTATTATGGTATCCTTTGAACTCTCATGTTTTCAATGCCACTCAATGACCGTGCAAAGGAAAGTCAGTCCCTAAATTTCCACCCACCTCCACCATCTCCCCACAACACTCTTGTGAGTGGGAATGAGGAACAGGGCAGGCTCTCTCAGTAGCTGTGGGGGGATGGTTTACTCTTTTGACCCTGAACTCTCTTCCCTGTACCAGGCTGTGATATTCCTGATGAACACTAGTTGATCTAGCAACCCAAAGTCCACACACACTTAGCCTCTGCTGCTGACTCTCTGCTCTTCACATGGTTGGTTATACCAACTCTCTGAGTTTGAGTTCATTTATTTGAACTTTCGAGAGACCATTTTATTGACTTATGTGTCACTCGCTATTGACATGGAGAAATAGCCCCAGTACAGAAAACTCCTATATTGAATTATCTTAATGGTCATTACTGAGAGTGAATAAGGAAACAACACAGTCTACCTCACAAAACGTACAGCAAGAGAGAGAAATCAGTAAAGAAATATGCAGCTGCTTACTCCATAAAGTTTAAAGACTAACAGTACAGGAATTTGCTCGAGGCCCTTTTAGGGCAAATTCCTGTACTGTTAGTCCTTTGTGAGATAAACTGTGTTGTTTCCTTATTCACTCTCAATAATGACCATTAAGATAATTCAATATAGGAGTTTTCTGTACTTGGGCTATTATACAGACTCAACCACATGAAGTCATCAAACAACTGAAATTTGACTAATTGTTATGAGCAAATAAATTTCAATTTCATTTACTACTATTTTTATATAAATACCATGCGTGAAAATGGAAATCATTTTCCACACGCAGATAAGTTACATATCTTTTCAATTTCATTTTCTTTTTGTCTTTCTCTCTCACTTTTTCTCTATCTTTCACTTTCCTTCCCTCCCTCCTTTTCTTTCTTTCTTTCTTTCTTTCTTTCTTTCTTTCTTTCTTTCTTAAATAAACCTTTAGGTGTGAAAAGGGACTGATGTTCAGGAAGGTCTTCAGTTATTACTTAGAAAATTCTATCTCTTTCATCTCTGCTAACAGATCAAATTTTGGAACATTTCAACGAGAAATCATGGCCTCAGTTATCAAGAAACTCAGGGAGGAAGCCACCTGCTCCAACTGCCAGCAGCTGATGACTGATCCAGTGGTTCTTGAATGTGGTCACAGCTTCTGCCATGCGTGCGTAATGAGCATCAATGAGAACCAGCAAGGGGACCAACCAGCGGAGGGAATAGCATTCTGTGCTCTGTGTATGCAGACATTTCAAATAGAGAGTCTCCGACCCAACAAGAAGCTGAAAAGCATCATTGAAACTATCAAGAAAGTGAACTGTGAAAAGTTGTGTGAGGAACATGGAGAGAAGCTTCACCTCTTCTGTGAAGATGATGGCCAGCTCATTTGTTTGTGCTGTGAACGAAAACCGCAGCACAAAGGACATGTCTTGGTTCTTGCTGAAGACGTCTGCGAAGACTACAAGGTAAGCGTGTGTATCAGAGGGCTTCTCAACTGTGTAAACTCAAAAAAGACAGCACTCTGGAGCACCAGATGTGTAAACACAAAAAGACAGCGGCAGCTCTATCTCTCCGGCTTCTGCATTGGGTAGTCTCATGCCATTTACCCCACTCCAGGGAAGTGATGGTGATGGGCAGGCGAAGGAAGGACTGAGAGCCAGGCTGGTTGGTCTTAGTTGCAATTTATTCCAATCCTCTCTCCATGCACTCCTGTTTCTCTCCTCTGTCTCCCTTCTGCTTCTTTCTCCCCCATGCTACTTTATTCTCTTCCTCGATGCCCCTTCATCCTCCTTCTGACTCTGGAATCTGAATCTTGATCCCCTTTCTCCTTCTCCTTCTGGAGTCTGGATCATGATTCCTTTTCCCAATTTAACAGTCTAGATAAATCCCAAAGAATGACTGGTTGGGATAACAATTACATATAGTTGTGGTCACAATCAATATGGGTAAAGTTCTCTCCCTCAGGGGGTAATTCTTGTAGGACAGATACCTTCTCAGCAGGACGACCACCCAAGAGCGGAATCCCATGGATGTGTTTCTCCTCTTCTTGTCCAACTAACATATAAGCATTCATAATATAAATCATTTTGTATGGATACAGTAATAAATAGCTTAAGCTTATAGAATTGCTCTCCTAGAGCCATCTCGATCTCAGACTACAGTGCCCAGGCCAGATATTCTTTCCTATCCCTAGCAGAGTCCTAGCCTCACTGTTATTTTTGGTTCATGACAGCATTTGTCTATGATCAAGCTCTTAATTTATAGTTAAGAATTGTGGCACTTTGGTCCGTTCCATTTTGATGCCAAGGGAGCTCACCGCTTGCCCTGGGTCCATTCACTCTCTTGTCAGGACCCTGCTTTGGGGGTGGTAGGAACTAAGGGCAACTGAGGCTTAAGTCAAGAAAGCAGCTGTCCCAGAGTGAGTAATCATGATCACGCTCATCCAGTTGTTCGTCGATTGTCTTGAGCAGGCACCAGTAACATTTCCTTCGCCTTAGCCCTGAGATTTTCAAAAATGCCATATTCAAGGCTCTTTCATTTTAGGAGAATGAGACCCATCATTGTTACTGGTATTTGGCATATTGGGTACACACAGGAAGTTTACCAGACTCTGCCATGTTGACAGGTTACATTCGATAGCCTGCCAGATTGTCCAAAGTAAGAATGAATTAATAAGATGTCGCGCGGTCGCAAATGCGGCCACGTGCTTCCAGGAGCTGAGTTTTATAGTCTCTGTTTCTTGGCCGTTGATGGGATTACACAGCACAGGGGGTCAGTTGGTGAGTGTGACCCCTGCCTACTGGAAGATGGAGGATTTCGGTGGAGGATGCTCATCCCCAATCCGAGCAGGGTTAGAGATCTCAACCCCGGAACCCACATGCCTTTGTTTCTCTGCTGGTACATTTATTTGTGTGAAGAGTGGAATCAGCATGGGGGTGACTGGTTCTAGAGGTCTTGGGCTGCCAGGGCTCTGTTCGGGGCCAGGAGGGAAACTCAACCCACCCCGCTCTGAGGGGCCCTGGCAAGGACAGCCTGGCGTGGGGCAGGTGACTCTGCGGGAGTGAATAATATCCAAGGACAATTAAATAATAAGTTACAAAAGCATAATATTAACTGTCTTCCTGTATCTATACAAAAAGGACGTTGCTTTAAAGTAAACTATTCATAAGACATAAGGAGAGGAGAAAGACAAAACTTAACTCAGACATGTAAAATAATAGATTTCTGAGGAATCTGATCTTACAAGTTAACATAGTCTGATTAGTGGAAAAAGCTGATTTAACTGGTTGGGGAGAAAAGCATAGGAAGAGTTTACAGATAAACACAATGGGGAGTGCCTCAAGAGCACTGTAATAAACCTGAGTTCCTTGTGGCAAGGGAGGAAGGACAAAGCAATGTCATCCTACACTCAACCACCTGCTCTTGTGGGACTCCCTGACAAATGAGCTTTTCAGTTTGAGGTCCATGATTATATTTGGTAAACAGTGCTTTCAGTATGTCATTAGATAAATATTAGTTAAGGATCCATCACTGCTGCATTAGTGCCTGATTGTTCATTCTAATTCCATCTCGGTGAGCCTGGCAAGCTACCGAGAGTATCCCCCACACACGGCAGAATCTGAGAGCTATCTGTGGTGTATTCGATATGCTAAAACCAGTAAATACAAAGGGTTTCATTCTGCTGACCCTGAAAGAGCCACCAATATGGCAGCATTAAGAAGGATGAGGAAGGAGAGGCTGATAAAATTTCAAGGCCAAACTAAGCAGCCAAAATGAAGAAGGGCAAAAATGAGTGTCTGTATTTTCAATGCACGTATACTGGTGTCACATGCATCTATCGAGGACCTGACGGTGCAAGTGCAGAAGATCAAGTACGACATCATTGGTATGACTGAGATGAGAAGGCATCAATCACATCACACCGTCTTTGACCCTGAAGAACTGTTCCTCGGATCATGCGACAAAAGAGGCGTTGGAGGTGTCGGTGTCTTGTCAAAACGAATTTGGCCATAAATACCTAAAAACCTGAATTGGACAATTAGACTTGAATAGATGTGGCTCACTGCTGACATTTTCTATCTTTATTGTATACTCACCAACATCCAATTATGATGAAGGAGAAATTGAGAAGTTCTACATTGAGCTGGAGAAGGTCAATAAACAAGACTACACCTTCTACAAGATCATTTTCGGTTATTTTAATGCCAAGTTAGGACTGGGAAGATCAGCCGAAGAAGTCCACATTAGGACCCATGGCTTAGAATGGAATGAACAGGGTGAGAGACTGAGTTCATCTTGTTGACCAAGACCATTCATGGTAACTCACAGTTCCAGAAGACTGAATTTAGACGTTAGACATGGGAGTCTCCAGGTGGACAGTTCCACAATGAATTTAACCATATCATATTCAATCAACGGTTTTGCTTGACCGATGTCACTGTTGTCCCAAAATTCCAAATGGGTTTGGACCACCCTCTCCTTTGTGCAAAATTTGACTTCATTGAGCAGGGAGAAAGGGCTGCAAAGTTTAAGAAGAAAACTCCTGTAAAGACCACGAACTGGGAGTTCTTTGTTCGTATTGTGCCAACATGGGAAGATGCCATCATTTACAACATCGAGGAAGACTATAGTTGACTGGTTCAGCACCTCCATGACAGAGAGAGGGACCCTGAGAGAGAGAGATAGCCACAAAAAGATGCCTGCATTCAAAAAATCTTGTACTCATTAACCAAAGAGGCTTGGCGAAAGCCTCAGGCAACAGCAAGCAAAAATTCGAGCTTACAAAGCAGTGCTGAGAAGCGATGAAGAAGGCTTCAAAGAGAGAAGAGCAGCAGTGCTAGCAGATGCGGCAGAAGCCAGGAAAAGCATTCACAACACCTGAATATTGTCTGTCGTCTACAAGCTGTTAACTTGACTCATACTAAATAGGATTGGCAGAACACTAGATGAAGGACAATCATGGAAGCAAGCTGGATTCTGAAAAGGATTCAGCACGATCGACCATATCCACACAATAACCAAGCTCATTGAGGTTTCTTGGGAGTTCAAGATGCCACTCTGTCTAACGTTCATTGATTTAAAGAAGGCCTTTGATTCTGTTGAGACTGAAGTGGTCATTGAAGCCCTAGCCAAACAGGTCGTTCAAACTCAATATATCAGGATCCTCCATGAGCTGTATTACAGATTCACTACCAGGATCTTACCATTCTACAAGGAAGTGATCATCCATGTCAAGGTTGGTGTATGGCAGGTTGATACCATTTCACCGAAACTCTTCAGTGCCAAACTCGAGAATTTCATATGACAACTGGAATGGGAAGAAATGGGAGTGAAGAGAGAAGGTCGGCCACTATACCACCTCCTTTTCACGATGACATCATTCTAATAGCACCAAACATTAGCCAAGTGGCACAAATGCTAACCAAAGTCGACTGTGAGTGTGCAAAACTCTGACTCCAGCTGAATCGACAAAGACAATGTTTATGAGAAACACTCTCATTTCTGATTTTCCATTTGCTCTCAATGGAATGAAAATCTCCAAGTGCAACAGTTATCTCTACCTCGGTTGAGAAGTCAATATGACGAATGACCTAGCACCTGACTTGCACAGGAGGAAGAGAGCAGCTTGGAACACCTTCAAGAGCATTGAAGAAAGAGCTATGAGGAAAAAGAACCTTCAGTTCTGGGCACATCTCTTTGATTCCACTGTTCTTTTTGCATTAACATACACCTTAGAGTCCTGGGTCCTACGAAAACAGGATGAGAACACTATTCAGGTCTTCCAAAAAGGAATCAAAAGAGCAATGCTTGGAGTATCACTTCACTCAAATAAGAGAAAGAATCTTGAGTTCCGACCTCTGTTGGCAATCAAGAATCAAGGATGCTGTCTTATTTGCCAAGGTTTTGAAAATCAGATGCGCTGGACACATAATTTGGAAATGACCGCTGGACTAGAGACATATGGACAGGATTCCACTGGACGTCAAAATATTGCGTGGCCGCCCACCTTCAAGATGGTCAGACTTCTATGTCAAGACACTGATTGACTGGTTTGAGGCTTCTTGTGTTCCTGGAGTGAGCAGACGCCATTGGGCTACAATAGCATGAGACAGAGATGAATGGAGAAGAAACTGGCAGCCGCTCAAGCAAATCGATGTGTAACTGGATGTCAAGTGATCAAGTTATCAAGTGAACATATTAAATCCTGTTCCCATTAAAATCGCTTTCATGGAAGCAAGAATCTATTAAAAAGCAATATTTTGATTTTAGAATCTAAGAATTCTCCTTTGATTTCACAGTTGCATCCTCTAAAAGGTCAGCAGCCATCCTCCTGCATGGGTTGTTTCTGCTTTTGGCTTCCTGCTCTTTCCCTTTCTGCACCATCACAGAATGTGTCATGAATTTCCAGTTATCTTCCCTTAATTATCTGTGTGTGTCAGCGATTATTCTATAATACTTGTGATCTGGTTGCGTGGCAATATTTCTCTGGAAAGACTGCTGTGTTTCTAATCTACTGGAATTAGCAGTAGACATTCTTGTAATTACCCTACACATATCTACCTTTTAATAGTCCCTGGAATAACAACTTAATCCTTTTGAAAATGTAATTCTGAAACCAAAAACTGATATTAAATATAAATCACCTTTTCTGCGATCAAATAGCTTCCTTTATAAGTATACAGACTCAACAAGCATTCAAAGTTACTGCAACTTGAAGAGTATTGAATGTCCTATAGTACTAGAATTCACATTAAACACTTAGCAAAAAGTTGAAAAATATGTGTACTTTCTTAATATTTTTCAGGAAAAGCTACAGAAAGCAGTGACAAAATTGAGAGAAGATGAGTCCCTATGCAACAACCTGAAGTTGTTCCTAAGAAAACAGAGGACAGAATGGGAGGTAAGAAAACTAAAGTGATTGGTCAACCTGTTTATCAACTAGATCAGTTTTGGAGATGAGTGGACATAGACAGAATAATTGATTATTGTCCCTCAACCAGACCAAATCGATAAAGCCTAGAGAGAAACTAAAATTTGTTTTTTTAGAACACTTATACTTCCATTTCTAGTTCTCTTGCTATACTTCACAAACATATGATAATAGGTCTAGTACCATAATCAAGTCCTTTACCTTTCCTGATCCTTAATTCTCCATCACCTTGGCTGCTCCCACATTTAAATGTCTGCCTTCTGGTCATGACTGAGGATCAGATAATATAAGACAATTTTCATTTTGAATGCTTCATGGGAATGTCATGTCACAGAAGCCCAGCAAGCTTCCTTTGGTTGAGTGTTGGTTCAAATAGGCATAGGACAAAATTTTCCATGTTCATCATTTTTGGTGTACAGTTTCTTGGCACTAAGTATTTCTATGGCTCAGAAACCCTTCCCACTACCCGAGTGCTGAAATTCTTTAATACTTCAAACTGGAAGTCTGTAAGCATGCACTAAGGCCTCACTGATCCTTTCTCCTAATTCTTGGCAACAATACTACCTATCCTGCCTCTACGAATTTTACTTGGGTCCTCTATAGAGGATTAATATTAACTGTTTTTCCTGCTTTTGGGGGCCACAACTGTAGGTTCCCAGGACACACTCATGGTTCTCTGCTGAGAGATCACTCTTTGAGCAGCTTAGGGAATTGTACTGGCTCCTGGGGTTGAATCCAGGTGGCTGCATAAAAGACAAGCACCCTGCCTGCTGTACTGTCTATCTGCTCAGATACCAATTTTATCATTTTCCTCTTTATTTCCTTCACTGAACTTAATATACTCCCTTTCTTCCATGCAGTCAGCGTTTCCTTTCTCATTGAGTCTGAATAGTAATCAGTTGAGTTTACAGATCTTATTTTGCTCATTTCTTCACTTAAAAATCAACACTTGGTTTGCATTTTTAAACTTTTTGTGTTTAGGAGAAGGTCAAGCTTCAGAGACAAAAAATCCAGTCTGAATTTGAGAATCTCCGTAGCTTTCTACACAATGAGGAGAACCATTTTCTACGGAGGCTGGGGGAAGAGGAGGAGCAGACTCTGAGGCAACTGCAGGAAGGTGAAGACAAGGTGGAAAAACAAAGCCAGGAACTGAAAAACCAAATCCAGGAACTTGAGAAGAAATGTCAGGGCACAGTCCAGAATTTGATGGAGGTAATATATATTATTAAGCTACCGTGATTTGTAATGTTGTTCATAATTGAGTTCCAGGAATACAATGTTTTGTCACCAATCCCACCACCATTGTTCACTTCTCTTCATCAGTGTCTCCAGGTTCCCACCAACTCCCATTTTGCTGCCTTGACAAGGACATTTTGGAAGTTCAATTATTGAATTTATATTTTATGGTACAGTGTTATTAGCTCTAGGGTCTAGATATATTCATATACCTATTCCTTTCCTACATGTTCAATGCATCTGGCTCCTGCCCATTTACCACCCACCTGCCATTTCTTACATCTGCCTTCATTCTTTCCTTCCCTGTTCTTCCCATACCATGATACCATGTTAAGTATAGTCTAGGTATTTCCTCCCCTCCTTTACCTTTCATTCCTGTGTCCTTTTAGTCTATATACCACAGATAAGTGAGACCATCCAGTATTTGTGCTTCTTCTGACGTACTTCACTTGATATGATATCCTTCAGTTTGATCCAACTTGCAGCAAATTGCTTGCTTTCACTATTCCTTGCAGCTACAAGGCATTACATTGTTTAAGTAGGTCATACCTTTATTATCCACTCCTCTGTCATTGGACAACTGGGTTGATTCCATCCTAGGTCTTGTTAAATTATGCAAAATAATTCTGTGCATATGTCCTTTGGAATAAATGTTTTAGTGTCTAAAAGGTACATATCAAGAAATGGAATGGTTTCTTCAAAAGGAAGCTCTATTCTTACTTTTCTGAAAAATCTCTGTACTGTTTAGCCTAAGGTGAAAGCATTTCTACCAGAAGTGGATGAGAATTCCTTGTTCACTTCATTCCCTCCAACACAGTGTTTTCAGTTTTTTTGATATATGCTATTCTCACTGCTGTGAGATAATATTTCATTATTGTCATGACTTGAATTTCCCAGATAAGGAAAAAACATTTTTTTGTGTGTCTTTTGGCCTTACATCTGTTTTCTTCAGAGATGTGTCTGTTGATTTCCTCTATCACTATATATATCTTTTCCTCTCCCCAAATTTGATAGGCTTTTGGGATATTTTGTTGTTGCTCTTGGTGAGTGCTTTATATATCACATATATTAATCCTTAATCTGGTGTGTCGATTTGAATATTTTCTCACATTCATATGGTTTTTTTTCACTGTTAGCCCATTTTTCTTTTGCAATGCAGAATTTCTTAACTTGATGCAGTTATGTTTGTATATACTTGTTGCCTTTGCCAAGGAATTGTATCATTTGGAGATGATACACTTTGATCATTTGAAACTTTGAGTTTCAAATCTTGAAGTGATCTACTCATATTTTCCTCAGTGCAAGTTATGAATTCTAGTGTCATCTCAAGGGCTTTGATCCACATTGAATTGACTTTTGGGTAAGGAACAAAACATGGATCCAGCTACTTTTTTTCACTTTTTGTTATGCATTTTTTCCCAACACATTTTCTTTTTTTGCCCTTTGAGTCACACTCGGCGATGCACAGGGTTTATTCCTGGCTCTCCACTCTGAAATTACCCCTGGCGGTGCTCGGGGGACCAAAAGCGATGCTGGGAATTAAACCCTGGTCAGCTGCATGTAAAGCAATTGCCCCACCCTCTGTGCTATCGCTCCAGCCCCCAATACCATTTTTTAAAGAGCCTTTTCATATTCCGCATCATGTACTCAGCTTCTTGGTCAAAATTTAGTTGCTGTAGAAGTAGGGATTTAGCAATAGTGCAGCGGTAGGGCATTTGCCTTATGCGCAGCCAGCCAGGAGAGCCCGGCAAACTACCAAGAGTATCTTGCTTGCACGGCAAAGCCTGACAAGCTACCCATGACGTATTAAATATGCCATGCACAGTAACAATAAGTCTCAAAAATGGAGACATTACTGGGCCTGCTCGAGCAAATCATTGAACAACGGGAGGACAGTGTTTGTTTGTTTTTGGCAGTACTTGATTCTATTACATTAGTCAGAGTCTATCCTAATTTTGTGAGAGAAGATAAGTTTGTTAGAAAGTTTGTAAAGACTGACAAAAAAAAACTGTCAGATTACTTAGAATTGCCCATTGGCCAGAAAGATAGTATAGCAGGTAGCATGTTTACCTTGCAGGTAATGTAACTGGGTTAGATCCTGGTATCATGTATGGTTTAGAGCTCCACCAGGAGTAATTCTGGAAAACTGGCCAGAAGTATTCCTGAACACTGCTAAGTATGGTCCCCAAACAACAACAACACATTTCCATTAATTCTGATATTACAATATTGTATTTCTCTTAGGAACTCCACAAGTTTGTAGTATGTACTCATGGAGTTGAATAAATATGTTCCCTTGATGTGAACAGTGGGACTGGAGTGATAGCAAAGCAGGTAGGGCGATTGCCTTGCATGTAGCCAACATGATCAACCCAAGTTTGATTCCTCCGACCCTTTTGGAGAGCCCGGCAAGCTACCAAGAGTATCTTGCCCTCACAGCAAAGGCTGGCAAACTACCCGTGATGTATTTGATATGCCAAACACAGTAACAAATGTCACAATGGATATGTTACTGGGCCGACTCGAGCAAATCAATGAACAACGGGAGGACAATGACAGTGACAGTGATGTGAACAGTGTGTTTTTTTGATAATCCTGGTATAAATGTTGCTGCCATTAATTTGTGTCCATTTCATGTTCATGCTTCAAAAACACTGTCAAATTGTTTCCTCAAAGTTTCATATGGATGGCAGTTGATAAAGGGAGACAGCTAAAACCAGTGATAATCTTGTCCTAAATGTGGCTGTAAAATCCTTATTCCATGAGTTCTAATGGGGCTTCACCTGCATCAAAGATTCAGGCAGCAAGATAAATACCTGCAACTGTTTATCCTAGTTCATCCAATAAAACTGTTAGCTTCTTAACTGAGATTCCAGCATCTATTGGAATGTAATATTTGCTACAACCCCATACTGAAACAGTTGCGAGGGATTAGTGTGGATTCAGCATTAAGGACTTTTAGGATATATAACTCTAATGTAGAAGTTTCTTGGTGGAAATCATGTTCATGAAAGCAAGAGCTGCCCTGGGGACACTGCTGCCCCTCTTCTTCAAGCAGTCCATACTTGAAATTGCAGACACTAAAGACCTTCAGAATTTTCTACAAGCAAAATAAAAGGTTCAGGTATTCTAGACATGGTACCATGCAAATATGCTTTGGAGACTGAGATAAAATTGCAGTGTTAGGAATCCATTCATATCTAAACCTGTGTTCACTTTCCTTTCACTTGAAGAGTGTTTATAGAGAGCAGCCCCATGTGACAAGCCCTAGGAACTACTGATGTTTCTATAGTCTCATTTGGTCTTTGTTTCTCTACAGGGTGTGAAACTCACCTTGAGCAGGTGAGTGGGGTGTGAATGCAGGAGGGCAGGGGTGTGGGTCTATGGAGACTAACAGTAAGTCCCTCTGATGGCATCTCTGGTCCTGCTTATTCAGGAGTTTTGATGTGAAGCTGGAATTGCCAGAGGTCATCTCTTTGGACCTTCATACTGTGTGTAATGTTTCTGAGCTTTACTTTGATGTGAGGAAAATATTAAAGAGATATCAAGGTAGGTCAATTAATGTATGTCCTAAATTGTAAGGGTGGAAGGGACTTTACAAGGAAACAAAGTCCCTTAACAGGGTCACATACACAGTGTGTTTAATTATTTTCAGTAGAGTGTCACACTCATCCTCATCTAACCCAGTGCTTTGCCAGGACCCTAGCATTCTGTTCATGTGTGATGACCCTTCATGTTTCTTATTTACCACATTGTACTGCATCAGTACAGAACAATTACCTCAACCCATTTGCCTTTTTGGAAAAGGAAATAATTCCCAGTTTTCTGTCAAGTGGATTGTCATAAAAGAAGTGAAACTGCCGGATGCGTTTAGAACATTGTCTGATGTGACATTTATTATTTTTTATAATGTAGTAGCACTGCTATTTATTCAGCCATTGATTAAGTTGATTGAATTGGGCGTGAACGCCACACTACTATTTGTTTTTCATTTTTTAATTTTATAACTTCATTCACAATGTGTGATTACATTCAACATTCTAACACCAATCCCACCACCGTTACATCTTCTCATCACCAAATTCAGAATGTTTCCATCCCAAACCCCAATCCCTGTCCTAAATCACAACCAAATAATATATTTCATATGATCCATTATGAAGAACTGCATGTGGGAGCCTAAATTCCAAAGAATGAGTAAAATGAATTATATTAGTAAAAATCCAGAGGCACACCGATGCCCTGTTATTGGGAGATGTGATTTACAGAACACTGGAAAAAAATTTGAAGTTTTTTAATGTCTTCCTGATTGTACTTGGGGGAACAATGTGATGCCAAGCATTGAATTGTCTGCATGTAAGGCCAGTTCCTTACCTAATTATTATCTATCTGCACCCTGTACAAAATTTCATTTGTAGAATGTATCCTTGTATAACATCATTATGTTTATTATTTTATTTATTTGTTTGTTTTTGCTTTTTGGGTCACACCTGGTGATGCACAGGGGTTACTCCTGGCTCTGCACTCAGGAATTACTTCTGGTGGTACTCAGGGGACCATATGTGATGCTGAGGATCGTACTCGGGTCAGCTGCATGCAAAACAAATGCCCTATCCGCTGTACTATCACTCCAGCCCTCAACATCATTACCTTGAGGCTATCTCATATTGCCACAGGTGTATCATGATTATCCCTGTGATGGCACACTGGGCTCTTGGGTACTACAACAATGCTGTACTAGAACTTTCTAGTCCTGCAGCCTGCTGTCCTGCAGCTCTTGTTTTGAAGGAAATAGAGTTTGAGCCTGTTTCCAGGCTACTGGTGTGAAAAAAGCAACATGCATTCCCACCAACTATTTAAAAAATTAATTTTTCTGTGCTCTGTACTCTATGATATTTGCACAGCATTACATTTTATATCGTTTGCCATCATGCTCCCATAGCAATCATTTTTACTGTACAGGTGAGAAAAATAAAACCCAAGGGATGAAGTAACTGCTGTATATAACACCAACAGGAATAGGTGCACTTGAACGCAGATTGGTTTGATATACAGCACAACATGTTTTCAGTCGAGAAAAAGCATATCCTCTACCCTTTTATTTGTTTGTTGATTTTTTTTCAGTCAGCGTGACTCTGGATCCAGAAACAGCTCATAGTGACCTACTTCTGTCTGAGGATGGGAGAAAGGTGATTGGTGGTCATCCACAGAAGAAGCCACACTCTGCCAGCAGATTTACTGCCTTAACTGCTGTCCTGGGTCATGAAGGCTTCACCTCAGGAAGACATTACTTTGAAGTAGATGTGGGGGAAGAAAGTAAATTGTGCGAGTTTGGAGTTTGTCAGGACAATGTGCCGAGAGACTCTAATATGAAGTCTCTCATACAACCTGACTGGGGATTCTGGGCCATCAGAAAATGCCAAGCTGAGAGAGGCTTACAAGCTCTTACCTGGCCACGAACCTCCCTTCATCAGGAGTATCTCTCGGTTGTAGGGGTTTTTGTGGACTATGAGGCCGGACTTGTCTCCTTTTACAACATGGAAACTGGCTCCCACATCTTCACCTTCCCCAAGGCTTCCTTCTCTCACCCTCTCCGGCCCTTTTTTCTGGTCTATTCATCTTCTTCTCTGTCCATGTCTCCCCCGGATATATTGGTAAAGAAGCAAAGTCCCCTCCACTGACTATCCAGGACAGAAATTTTGATGTAAATCCTTAGGGACAAACACTTGACTTATATTCCTTACTAATCTTTTTATATATCAAGAGAATAATGATGTGCTTTGGGGTACTTCATACGTCTGCATTAAATTAAATTATATGAAGACTGATAATATGGCCACCAATAAGCCTGAGCTGAGAGAAAACCCCCCAAGTCAGTGCTCATGGCCTCTCCTGCATAAACTGCTTCAACAGGTTTAGACCTTCAAATGTTAAGAGTTGTTCAGTGAAACCAGCAATGAGAAGGTTTATGTTATATTTCGCTTCAGACCATTTGAACACTTCGGAGAGGAGAAAGCAGTGGGCAGAAGAGATAGTACAGGTGGTGGGTCACTTGCCGTACACTCTACCAATCTCTGTCCCATTATGTGCATCACATATAGTTCTCCAGGACACAGCTTTGTCCTAGGAGAAATCTGGAGTGTACAGAGTATGAATGGGAAGGACTGTTGAAGTCAGAGGCAGGGGCAAGGGCAGCATCTCGGCACTTGTGGGGTCTGACTTGCTTATGCCCAGGCGTGGCCTGGAATGACTTCCAGAACAGAGTGTGAATCTGACACTAGCAGGACCCCACAGTGCACACAAGCACCCTCGTCTAGCAGGGAGGTACTCCACCTAGCAAATCCATCTGGGGAGTAGCCCCTCCAGATTCCTGCTTAGTCAAAAAAGACATCATTAAGCTGATTGATCAGAATCAAGATAAGGCCATGCTCTTTATAACACGGCCGACTTCTCATTGTCAAAGGCTCTTTTTTCAGTATTAATGTATATTTTGTTATTTTGGTTTACAGGTAAGGTATAGGCCCTCCCGTTGATCGTCGATTTGCTCGAGCGGGCCCAGTAACGTCTCCATTGGAGACTGTGTTGTTACTGTGTCTGGCAGGGTTAGAGAACCTAGGATGGGGAGGGGGAAGCTTTCTGGAGTCATTTGTTTTCTGTTCCCCACAATGCATTCTCATGGTCACCTCTGGGTTCACCGGTCCCCGGAGTATGAGAGGTTTACCTTTCTACTGGGCTCAGAATGAATAGTCCTCAGCTCATCTCTCCTTCCAGTGTCCTGCTGACCTGTCTCTCCTAGGCATGCTTGGAGGCCTGCAGGGCTCAGGGTAGATGGACTCTGCTCAGAGGAAATCCCCTACCCTCAGCATTTCGGTTTCTTTAACTTTGTACAACAATACTATCAGTCAAACATTACTGTAACCAATTAACTACTGTATAATAAAACTTTTTTAAAAATTGCTATCTTAAAGAATCTGATTCTTAAAAAAATGCTGGTTAAAAATGATAATTCAAGGAACAAAGGATTATGTTACTAAAAATGAGCAAAATCAACCATTTTTTTTGGCCTTTTTGGTCCACACCCAGCCATGCCCAGAGGTTACTCCTGGCTCTGCACTTAGGAATTACTCCTGAAGTTGCTTAGGGGTCCATGTGGGTTGCCAGGGATCGAACCCGGGTCGGCGCATGAAGGCAAACAGCTTACCTGCTGTACTTATCACTCCTGCCCACAAAATCAACTTTTGGAAACAAATGATCAGCACAGCAAAGTAAGAAATGAAAATGGCTTGGAGTACAGGTAATTTATAGAAAGAAAGTCAAATTTCTACCAGATACTCAAGTGAAAAAATGCCGTTGTATTAAATGAGTAATTAACTAGATGAGTAATTAGCTTTTATAATAAAGATGCTTTACCAGAAATTATATAGAAATAAGCCCTAAGTATTGAAAATGCATATATTGGACACTACTTCCACTACCCAGCCATTGCCACACTCGAGGACGCTTTCCGGACCTGCGTGGCAGCTCCGGCCGAGACTCACGCACGACTGCAGACCCACAGAACAAGATAAGCGGAACTCTCTGAGACCTTGGACTCCAGACTCGGCAGACCCAGGGACAGAGCTCTGCTTGCTCCCACCAACCACAGATGAAAAAGGGATTCTAATCAGGAGCCCCACCCTACCCTGCCCTGTCTGCTTCCATCAACCACACAGGGATCGAATTGCGCACAGGAGACCCACCCTACCCAGATAAATACCCCACTGGCAGACTTCCACTATTGACACTACTTCCACTACCCAGCCGTCACCACACTCCAGGACGCTTTCCGACTGCTTTGCGGCCGTGCGACACATCATAAGACACTAAATACCCATCTTCCAGAATTGTCGTACCATATTTGATAGGGTTCAAATGTGGTAACACATACAAGGGTGATTAGAGGTCGCCCCAAAAGCCTCTATCCCTCTCGGAAGGACTGGCAAGCTACCCAGAGTATTCCGCCCACACGGAGAGCCTGGCAAGCTATCCGTTGTATATTCGATATGCCAAAACCAGTAACTACAACTGGTCTCATTCACCTGACCCTGAAGGCTTCACTGACATGGTAACACTGAGCAGGGTGAGAAAGGAGAGGCCGACAAAATCTCAAGGCCGAACTAGGCTGCCACAAAGAAGGAAGACAAAAATGGTCATCTGTACGTTCAATGTACATATGCTAGCATCAGATGCATCCATCGAGGACCTGATGGTACAAGCACGAATGATCAAGTACGACATCATTGGTCTGACTGAGACAAGAAGGCACGAATCTCACCATGCCGTTTTCCACACTGGAGAAGAATTGTTCCTCGGAACATGCGATAAAAGAGGTCTTGGAGGCGTCATTGTCCTTGTCAACACAAACTTGGCCCAGAGCATTGATTCATTCGAATGCCTAATAACCCGAATTGGAAGTTTACATTTGAATAGATGTGGCTCACTGCCTGCAGTTTCTATCTTCGTTGTCTACGCACCAACATCTCATTAGGATGAAAGAGAAATCGAGAAGTTCTACATGGAGCTAGAGAAGTTCTATAAAGAAGACCACACATTCTACAAGATCATTGTGGGTGATTTTAATGCCAAGATAGGACTGAGAAGATCAGCTGAAGAACTTCACATCGGGACCCATGGCCTAGAATGGAACGAACAGGGTGAGAGACTGTCTGAGTTCATCATGTCGACCAAGACCATTCATGGTAACTCAGAGTTCCAGAAGGCAGAATCTAAATGATGGACATGGGAGTCTCCTGGTGGACGATTCCACAATGAAATAGACCACATCATATTCAATCGACGGTTTTGCCTGACTGATGTCGCTGTTGTCCCAAAATTTCGAATGGGATCGGACCACCATCTCCTTCGTGCAAAATTCTACTTCACAGAGCGGGAAGAAAGGAATGCAAAGTTCAAAAAGAGAACTCCCAGAATGACCAACAACTGGGAACTCTTTGGTACTATTGCGGCAACATGGGAAGATGCCATTGTTGACAACATTGATGAGGCATACGATCGACTGGTTCAGCACCTCCATGAATGTGCGAGGAATGCCAAGAGAGAGATAGCCACAAAACATCGCCTATCTTCGAAAATTCTTGAGCTAATTCGCCAGCGTGGTTTGGCGCATGCCTCAGGCAACCGCAAGCTAATGTCCGAGCTCGCAAAGCAGTGCAGAGTTGCTATCAAGGAAGACCTCAAAGAGAGAAGAGTAGAAGAACTGGTAGATGTGGCAGAAGCCGGGAAAAGTATTCGTAACACCTGCCTGTCCTTTGCCAACTACAAGACCAAGATGACTGCCCTCCGACGTCCTGATGGATCCATCACATCCTCCAGAACGGCAATGGAGAAGATTATCCATGACTTCTACTCAAATCTCTTCGACAGCCATGTCCACTTGCCAAAGACATACCAAATTCCACAGGATGGATATGTCGTTCCCAACGTTCTCCCTTCCGAAATTCGACAAGCCATTTCGTCGGTAAAGAAACAAACAGCACCCGGCCCAGACAAGGCCAGACCTGAACACCTGGAGAACCTGCCGTCAGTACTCATCAATACACTGGCTTGACTCTTCACTCGCTACCTGTCTAAATGCAAGGTTCTGTCCCAATGGAAAACCAGCAGGAACGTACTACTGTTCAAGAAGGGAGACATCCATGACATTGGCAACTATTGCCCGATCTGCCTATTGTCTGTCATCTACAAGTTGTTCACCTGAGTCATCCTGAATAGGATAGGCAGAACACTAGATGAAGGACAACCATGCGAGCAAGCTGGGTTCTGCAAAGGATTCAGCACCATCGACCATCTCCACACGATAACCAAGCTCATTGAGTTTTCTCGGGAATTCAAGATGCCGCTCTGTTTAACGTTCATTGATTTAAAGAAGACCTTTGATTCTGTTGAGACAGAAGCGGTCATTGAAGCCCTAGCCAATCAGGGCATTCAAGCCCAATACATCAGGATCCTCTGTGAGCTGTATTGTGGATTCACTACCAGGAACTCACCATTCTACAAAGAAGTGATCATTGATGTCAAGAGAGGGGTGCAGCAGGGTGATACCATTTCACCGAAACTCTTCAGTGCCACCCTCGAAAACATCATGCGATGACTGGAATGGGAAGGAATGGGAGTGAAGATAGATGGTCGGCAACTACACCACATCCGCTTTGCTGATGACATTGTTTTAATAACACCAAACATCAGCCAAGCGGCACAAATGCTGGCCAAGTTTGACCGTGAGTGTGGAAAGGTAGGACTACAGCTGAATCTTACGAAGACAATGTTTATGAGAAACAGCCTCGTTCCTGATGCCCCATTCGCTCTCAACGGAACGACCATCTCCAAATGCAACAGCTATGTGTACCTAGGTCGAGAGGTCAACATGACAAATGACCTGGCACCCGAGCTACGCAGGAGGAAGAGAGCGGCTTGGAACGCCTTCAAGAACGTCGAAGAAATAGCTAAGAGGACGAAGAATCTCCGGCTCTGGGCACACCTTTTTGATTCCACTGTTCTTCCTGCATTAACATATGCCTCAGAGACCTGGGCCCTATGCAAACAGGATGAGAACTCTATTCAGGTCTCCCAAAGAAGAATAGAATGAGCTATGCTTGGAATATCACGTTTCACTCAAATGAGAAAAAGAATCCGGAGTTCTGACATCCGTCGACGATCAAGAATCAGGGACGCTGTCTCATTTGCCAAGGTGTATAAAATCAGATGGGCTGGTCACGTAATGAGATTTAAAGAGGACTGCTGGACTAGAGCTGTTACGGACTGGATTCCACGGGATGTCAAAAGACTGCGTGGCCGCCCACCTACCAGATGGTCAGACTTCTTCGTCAAGATTATGAACGATCGGTTTGAGGCTCTTCATGTTCCTGGAGCGAACAGATACCATTGGGCTATGCTAGCACGCGACAGGGACAAATGGAGACGTTACTGGCACCCGCTCGAGCAAATCGACGACTAATGGGAAGTTAAGTGATTAAGTGAAATTGGACATAGTTTGTGGAATTAATGCCAAATTAAGTGCAAATGCCTCAGAAAACCCTGGTTCCAGATGCCCCAAATCCCCTTGATTTCTTTTTTATGCTAAATATGCACTAGCTGATGCCTCCTGTCTCTGCACCCTGTTGTGGGGGTTTTCCAGACTGAATTTGAGAGGCACGTGGGTGTCTGGGGGAACTCTCATCCACACACTCGTGAGATGGATCTAGGTCAGAATCTGAACAAGAGTAAATCATGAAAGTTCAAGTGTTCCGTCATCAAGGTGAATAGAGGGAGCACAGGACACTCCACATTTTGTCACCATGATGAGACATTTCCTATGTAGCAGCCCTGAGCTGGTGACTCTGACCATACAGTCCTTTGGGATATTTGCCTTAGCAGGCATGTCACCCTGTCGTTATTGTTTCTTTGTGCTTGGTTTTCTTTCTGGTGTTGGCTCACACCTGATTGTACTCAGGGATCATTTCTGGCTTTCCACATGTGGTGCTGGGGATTGAATTTGTATTGGTGGCATGCAGGACAAGTACCCTCAATCCTGTACTACTTCTCAAGCTCTGTGTCAGTTTTTTTGAGTAACAACTCAGTGCTCAGTGCTCAGGGACATTTCCTCAAGTGGTGCTCAGAGCTTCACTCCTGGTGGCCTCCTTTTTAATGCGTGGAAAAACAAACTTTGGTTTCCTACATGTGCTACAGCCTTTGAGGCAACTCCCAGGCCGCAACTTTTCATCATATTTAACGGGGTTATATAGCACAGCGGGTAGGGCGTTCACCTTACAAGCGGTCAACATGGCCGACCCGAATTTGATTCCTCCGCCCCTCTCGGATACCCCGGCTAGCTACCGAGAGTATTCGATATGCTAGACACAGTAAAAACAAAGTCTCCAA